CCTCCCTTCCCTTCTCTACTATCCACATCCTACTTTCCTTTAAGGTTGAGTTTTGGTCCTTCCTTATCTGGGAAGTATTTTCTTGGTCTGTATGACTGTCCCCTCTTCTGAAATGCTGGCAGGACTGACCAGCTTTAGCACTTAATGAAATACTACCTTTGGTATTAAATCGTGTGGCATGATCTTATTTCCTGAAATACATTTTAAACTTCATGGTAACAAGTTCATGCATTCTCTCTCTCTTTTTTTTACCATAGTACTGAGCTAAGGGGAAGTTCAATAAATATTCATCAACTTTTTACCATCCAGTTAATCAGTAAAAGCATAGTTTCTTTAGAAAATGGATACTGTGGGATCTTTTGATTAGCTTTTGGTATATATCAATTAAGTATAATAAAACTGGTTTCTATCAGAGAAAACCTAAGGCAAGAGGCGTTGACACACTTTTTAGTTAATAGTAACTGAAATAGATTCAAATGATTTAAAAGTTGATTGAGAAATTATGAAAAATTAAAGACCTAAAATTTTAACTATTTTGTATTATAAATCTTCATATTATGAATAGCACTTAACGTTTAGTTCTAAGATTTGTGCAATAGGAAAATATACTTAACATGTATCATTTATAATTACTACATATCTGTATTTTAAGTATATGTTACAATACTAGCCCTGCTTTCTACTTCTCCTTTTCATCTCTCATGTTATAGTTTTGCTACTTCTAGTTTTTTGGTGCCATTGAGTTTATAATCTTAGGTAAGTGCCAGAGAGTTATGACGATGATTGTAGGAAGAATCCCATTTTAAGGATCTTCACATGGAGCACCAGAAATTGTTTGGAAACTTATGTAGAACTAGTGGCCCGGTGCACGAAATTTGTGCATGGGGGGGGGTCCCTCAGCCCGGCCTGCATCCTCTCCAATCTGGGACCCCTCAGGGGATGATCCCCTGTGAGATTGGGCCTAAACCGGCAGTCAGACTTCCCTCTCACAATCCGGGTCGGCTGGCTCCTAACCGCTTGCCTGCCTGCCTGCCTGCCTGATTGCCCCTACCGCTTCTGCCTGCGAACCTGATTGCCCCCTAACCGTTCCCCTGCTGGCCTGATTGACACCTAACTGCTCCCCTGCCGGCCCAATCGCTCCCAACAGCCCTCCCCTGCCGGCCCGATCACCCACTACTGCCCTCCCCTGTCAGCCCAATCGCCCCCTACTGCCCTCCCCTGCCGGCCCAATCTCCTACAACTGCCCTTCCCTGCTGGCCTGATTGCCCACAACTGCCCTCTCCTGCCATGACCGGCCTCCTCCACGCAGCGCAGAGCCACGGGACCCCCAGACCTCACTGTGCAGACTGGCCGCTGGGCCCGGCCTTTGCTGTGCACGGCCATCTTGTGGTGACATCATGTGCGAGGGCCACCTAGGCTTTTATTAGTGTAGATAGTTTATTTATTTATTTATTTATTTATTTATTTATTCAATAGGGAAATAACCATAGAAATGAAACAGTTTCCTTCTAGGTTGATTCTTATATGTTATAGAGAGAAACTTTTTAAATACCCATATAGGTTTTGTTGATAAGCATATTTTAGCATGTCTGTATTTCCTTGATAGGTGTGTTTTTGATTTAGGATGATAGAGAGAAGAAAGTTTCTTCAGTCAATTTATTTGCAAAATAAAAAGCACCAATTAATAACATTGTGAAAATTATCATTTTCAACCTTTTCAGAAAGAAGTTGAACTTTTTTCATGGCCGAAATTAAAGCAGTATCTGCTTACCATTCAATATTTCTCTTTGGTTTTAAATTCTTTAGTTTTCAGAACATGCTCAAAAGAAGAGTTAATCTTGAGACCACAGGTATAGACAGGTCTAGGTATGTGATCTGTTTGGCTGTTCTGCAAGTGCTATAAATGCTACCAGAGTGTAATCTGACACCAGGTAGGCCCAAGTGGCCAATGATGGAAAGTGGAGAACAATGTGAAAGAACTGGAATTTCAGGTCTGCCCTCAGAGTCCTGGAACTGTTCATCTGGGAGTCAGCATAAAGGTGAAAGCATAGAGAGAAGTCAGCCTGTTCGGTTTGATCATACTGACTTTGTGGTGTTTTTGTTGTTGTTGTTGTTTTACTCTAACATGGTTGAAGTAAGGTGAGCTTATTCAGGTTTCCAAGACCTGTTTCAGTTTTGCATATGTCACCAGAAGCCTACTGAGACTTCCTATTTAAAAAACATAAATTTGTGCTTCATTCACACAAAAATGAAACTGCCTTTGAAAAAGTTCTAGATACTTAACTTCCCCTTACCTGCCTCCCACACTTGCAATGATGAAAGATGCCTAACGCAGAATAGTTACTTAAAAGATATTGGTGGTAATATATAGTACTTGTATGGATTCCAAGAACACATTTTAAAACATTTAAATTTTTTTCTTAAATTCCTTGAATATTTAAAATAATTTTAATTTAAAGGTTGGAGTATAGAAACATTTTCTTTTTGAATTAAGTTATGATTTGTTTCTCTAGTGACATTAACTTGTATTTCCCCGTTCTATTTTGTGTATAGAGCACATGATTTAGAGAGGGCTATATAGTGAGATTTATTTTACAACTGGTTTCTTTTTTTGTTTGTTTCCTTAGTAGGAACTGAGAGACTATCCTTTTTGGGGAAGTTCAAATCTGATTTCATAACTAACCACATTTTGGTATGGCTGTCAAAAAAAAAAATATTTTTACCAATCTGACAAAAAAAACATTATTTTGATTCATTCACAACAGATGGCTGTTGTTGTGTTGGCTGTTATCATTTTTTTTATTTGACAGTCTGAGAGAAGAGAGGTCAGTGCCTCTGACTAAATAGTCAGGCATTGCATGATTTAAAAATTATTATTGCACACCAGTTGAAAACCACTGCACTAGAGCATATCTTCTAAGAAAATGAAAAGTAGAACTAGTGGCCCGGTGCACGAAATTTGTGCATGGGGGGGGGGTCCCTCAGCCCGGCCTGCATCCTCTCCAATCTGGGACCCCTCAGGGGATGATCCCCTGTGAGATTGGGCCTAAACCGGCAGTCAGACTTCCCTCTCACAATCCGGGTCGGCTGGCTCCTAACCGCTTGCCTGCCTGCCTGCCTGCCTGATTGCCCCTACCGCTTCTGCCTGCGAACCTGATTGCCCCCTAACCGTTCCCCTGCTGGCCTGATTGACACCTAACTGCTCCCCTGCCGGCCCAATCGCTCCCAACAGCCCTCCCCTGCCGGCCCGATCACCCACTACTGCCCTCCCCTGTCAGCCCAATCGCCCCCTACTGCCCTCCCCTGCCGGCCCAATCTCCTACAACTGCCCTTCCCTGCTGGCCTGATTGCCCACAACTGCCCTCTCCTGCCATGACCGGCCTCCTCCACGCAGCGCAGAGCCACGGGACCCCCAGACCTCACTGTGCAGACTGGCCGCTGGGCCCGGCCTTTGCTGTGCACGGCCATCTTGTGGTGACATCATGTGCGAGGGCCACCTAGGCTTTTATTAGTGTAGATAGTTTATTTATTTATTTATTTATTTATTTATTTATTTTATTTAATTTAGATATCAATGTGAAAAAGAAACATCCATGTGAGAGAGAAATTATCGATTGGTTGCCTCCCGCCCTGACTGGGATTGAACCCACCACCTTTTGGTGTGTGGGACCATGCTCCAACCAACTGAGGCCACACCAGCCAGGACAATAGTTTATTATTTAAAGAAGAAAAGGGTTGCACTCTGAAAATAGTAGGTCATTCTCACATATGGGGAGCCAGTAGTTTTGTGCACAAGGAATGTTAAAGTCTATCCAATTTGTTGGTAACTTGGGAAAAGGTGAAAATGTTTTGCTTCTCTGGAGTTTACATCCTTAAGTCTGGTCCCACTATGATTTGGAAGAGAACCCCATGATCACAGATACAAAAGATTATGATCATCCATGAATACATGGAGAAATCTGGATTGAACATGGCAATGAGCATAGACAGAAACCTGGGGAAAAGGGCACTACATATGGGGTTCTAGGGGGAACTGAGGCAAGGCTGATTTTGGCTTCTTTAATACTGGGGTGGGGTAGGGGGCCATGAGAGACTATAAAATACAGAAATGCTATAATACCTGATTTTGAGATGGAAGTGAAGAGTATTAAAATTGTGACACTTTTAAGCTTGTTCTAAAGAAGATTCCTGTCCACTTTTACAGCCCCCTCTGAAGGCTCTAGGCCAGCCGTGAATAAAACTAAAAAAAAAAAAAAAAAACCCGTACCCTTTTATGTAATGATGTTTACTTTGAATTTATATTAGTTCACACAAACACTCCATCCATGCTTTTGTTCCGGCCCTCCGGTCCAGTTTAAGAACCCATTGTGGCCCTCGAGTCAAAAAGTTTGCCCACCCCTGGCCTAGATGTTCAGATATCCTGTTTTCAAATCTGACTGGCCATGTTTTTCTCATACCTTTTACAACATCATGAAGAGCCTCTTAAGCCCTGTTAATGGATTTGAAGTTTTTCCTATAGGTAATGGAAGTCACTGATTAGTTTTAAGTAGAGGAGTGAGTTTATTGTATTTTCATTTTTGGTAAATTACTCTTCCTGTAGGGTGAAGAACCACTGGAGGGGAGCTAGAGTAAAATTAGTAAGGAACCATCATCAATTGAATACATGGAACAGCAACTATCACCTAATAATGTAAATCCATGGCCATTAAGCTATTTATATGATTTTTATATTTTGCTTTCAGCTTATGGTGTGTTTCTTTGTAAGAGGGGTAATTCTTATGACGTAATAGAGTTTCTTCTAGAAGAGTATTGTGTAATATGGGAGTTGGGGGAGTTATGTTATGTAGCAAAATCTCCTAGGGGACTTGAACAACATATCTCTAGCTTTTCCCCTTCAATTTGGGCCAGAGTGAAACACTATTACTAATGAGAATCTGCTATCTTCTCAGATGGGGGAAATCATTGCACTAGAGCAGCGATTTTCAACCTTTTTCATTTCATGGCATACATAATTACTAAAATCCTGTAGCACACCAAAAAAAAAAATATTTTTACCAATCTGACAAAAAAAACATTATTTTGATTCATTCACAACAGATGGCTGTTGTTGTGTTGGCTGTTATCATTTTTTTTATTTGACAGTCTGAGAGAAGAGAGGTCAGTGCCTCTGACTAAATAGTCAGGCATTGCATGATTTAAAAATTATTATTGCACACCAGTTGAAAACCACTGCACTAGAGCATATCTTCTAAGAAAATGAAAATATTCAATAGGGAAATAACCATAGAAATGAAACAGTTTCCTTCTAGGTTGATTCTTATATGTTATAGAGAGAAACTTTTTAAATACCCATATAGGTTTTGTTGATAAGCATATTTTAGCATGTCTGTATTTCCTTGATAGGTGTGTTTTTGATTTAGGATGATAGAGAGAAGAAAGTTTCTTCAGTCAATTTATTTGCAAAATAAAAAGCACCAATTAATAACATTGTGAAAATTATCATTTTCAACCTTTTCAGAAAGAAGTTGAACTTTTTTCATGGCCGAAATTAAAGCAGTATCTGCTTACCATTCAATATTTCTCTTTGGTTTTAAATTCTTTAGTTTTCAGAACATGCTCAAAAGAAGAGTTAATCTTGAGACCACAGGTATAGACAGGTCTAGGTATGTGATCTGTTTGGCTGTTCTGCAAGTGCTATAAATGCTACCAGAGTGTAATCTGACACCAGGTAGGCCCAAGTGGCCAATGATGGAAAGTGGAGAACAATGTGAAAGAACTGGAATTTCAGGTCTGCCCTCAGAGTCCTGGAACTGTTCATCTGGGAGTCAGCATAAAGGTGAAAGCATAGAGAGAAGTCAGCCTGTTCGGTTTGATCATACTGACTTTGTGGTGTTTTTGTTGTTGTTGTTGTTTTACTCTAACATGGTTGAAGTAAGGTGAGCTTATTCAGGTTTCCAAGACCTGTTTCAGTTTTGCATATGTCACCAGAAGCCTACTGAGACTTCCTATTTAAAAAACATAAATTTGTGCTTCATTCACACAAAAATGAAACTGCCTTTGAAAAAGTTCTAGATACTTAACTTCCCCTTACCTGCCTCCCACACTTGCAATGATGAAAGATGCCTAACGCAGAATAGTTACTTAAAAGATATTGGTGGTAATATATAGTACTTGTATGGATTCCAAGAACACATTTTAAAACATTTAAATTTTTTTCTTAAATTCCTTGAATATTTAAAATAATTTTAATTTAAAGGTTGGAGTATAGAAACATTTTCTTTTTGAATTAAGTTATGATTTGTTTCTCTAGTGACATTAACTTGTATTTCCCCGTTCTATTTTGTGTATAGAGCACATGATTTAGAGAGGGCTATATAGTGAGATTTATTTTACAACTGGTTTCTTTTTTTGTTTGTTTCCTTAGTAGGAACTGAGAGACTATCCTTTTTGGGGAAGTTCAAATCTGATTTCATAACTAACCACATTTTGGTATGGCTGTCTTTTTTTCCATATCCACAAATTTTTAAATGTAAGTGACAGTAATGTATATTTAAAGAACTAGCAAAAAAAATGTCACTAGAATTTTAAAGTATTTTGAAGAGTTTCTAAGTTGGGGTAGTTTTATAAAAAGGCTTAGTAATGTTTCCTTTTCATTTTTTAGGCTGAGTGACTGTAAAGCAAGATGGTTTGGTATGATAATACTTGGGAAAGAACAATAATAGTAAAACGTTAAGATTTAAAGCAATAGTAGAAAAATCTACAAACTCCTTCAGTTGTTTCAGGTAAAAATATGATTGAAAATGATTTAACGGAAATCAAGAGGTTGCATGAAATATAGAGACCATTGCTATATATATTTGTGTAAGGGAATTCTTATTTTTCCAGATATTCTGCAAAAGAAAAATACTAACAAATTCTATTAATGTAGAGAAAGGGGCATGACTAGGAATTAAAACCTCTATTGCTTTTGTTGCCGTTAACTGTCTGTCTGACCTTGGGCAAGTCAGAATGCTCTAGCCCAAATAAATTAGCTGTTCAATGAATGCATTGTCCTAAGTAATTCTTAGATCTTTTCCAGCTCTAAAATTGTATGATTCTATACTTTCAGAATAGGCAGGCTCTTGGAAGACTGTACAGAATTTATTTTGATACCACTTATTTATTATTTTCATTTCTGCTGAGAGCTAATATAAAGCATTCTTCCATGTTAGAAAATAAACAAAAAGGCCTAACTATGGTCTATTATACAAGAATTCCAGTCATTACAGTTTATAGTTTGCTTGCTTCTTATTTCCATAGCTTCTTTTCTCTCACTTTTCTTATTCTACTTTTCTTTAATTTCTGTTGCATTTCTTAAAATTAATGTTTTTTTTCCAAATATACCTACTTATAATAGGTATATCTATATGGTGATAAGGATTATTTATTAGATTACCACTTAATGTAAAAATACTTTCTGTTTAGGTACTTGGCATCTGGAGTTATTACAGAATTCCAGTTTTCTAGATAGTTCCATACACACACACACACACACACACACACACACACACACACACACACTCACCCCTACACACAAACACTGTCTGAATGCTTTATGAGAGGAAGTCATTCAAATTAAAGGTAGTCATTCCTTTGCTCTAAACTGGTGAATTTTACCTTCTTTGGACCATAATTGTCTTAGATAAAATTCTTTTGCTTTTTTTGTTTATTTGATTGGTTCTTTTTATTTATCAGTTTTTATATTGAGTATAATGAGTTGGTGGCCTAGTTGCTTCCAAAGGGTAGCAGTGATTTTTAATATAGTTATTAATTAATGGGTTTTTAGACCTTGGCCTGTGTTTAAAACCCTTTTGCAGAAAACCTAAATTTGCATTCAGTCAGGGATTAAGAAGACAAGTGTTTGAAGTATTAACAACTGATTTTGACAATCATATGGAGAGGGAGAGAGAGATAGAAACATCATTGATAAGAGGGAATCATTGATTGTCTGCCTCCTGCACGCGCTCTACTGGGGATGGAGCCTGGAACCTGGGCATGTGCTCTTGACTGGAATTGAACCTGAGACCTTTCAGTCCACAGGCCGAGGCTCTCTAGCCACTGAGCCAAACCAGCTAGGGCCGATCATATGTTTTTATAATGCCTGAAATCTTTTATAATACATTAAATACAAATTAAATATTTGATTGGTTGTAGTAGCTAATGTGGCTCAAGGTTTTGTGTTTACAATCCAGTAAATTCATTTTGTTTGGAACAGACATAATGGAACTCTTGTGTTAAGAGAAGCTTGCCAGACAGGGTGAGGGCTTAGCCCTGAAGCATCTGGGTTTATCAAATAGTTGTCAAATTTTTTAGGCACTGGAATAGAATTATACTTTTGTTGGTAATGGGCTCTGGAGTTCTTTGTTGGAGTCTGGCAAATAGCTGTGGTAAAGAAGACTCCCAGGAAGTGTGGAAATGAAACTTAAGGAATAATTAGTTACCTGGAATGCACCTGTTACATCTCTTGCACTATACTTAGACTATAATGAAGCTAATGTTTATTGAGTGAAGTTGATATGCCAGGCATTCTGCACATGCATTTTGCATCTTATCTTTTCAATTCTAGATTTTGGTGTTATCTATTATACCCATTTTACAAAGTGAGGCAACTGTGGCTCATGTCTATTTTGCAAAAGAGATCGACATTAACTTACTTGTCTCAGGTCACAGTGCAGAAGTTTCAAACCCAAGTTGTCTGACTCTAGAGCTTAAACTCTTGATTTGCTTGCTTTACTATTTTACCTTAAATCTGAAGCTTTTTTGGGATATAGGAAGTTAGGAAACTTATTGCTTAGACATTCCTCTGGCATTTCTCCTTGAAGAATAAGAATATGGTCCCGACCTAGTTAAAAGTCAGAGAGACAGATAGGGAAGTTTTTATTACTTGGTAGATGCCCAACTAGATGACCTCGCAAAACTGTGCAAATAAGTTAACTGTTTATGTCTCTTGAATGAACAATTTTCACTTATATTTTTTCTTACTTTTTGAAGACTAAATGACCCTTTGAAAATGAAATGTGTTTGAAAACTATTAACCCAGCAGAGTGTTCACAGATATACTGTATATAGCTAGTGGTTAGTAAATTAAAGCAAATTTTAAATTTACTGAAGACCTTATAATTTGTAGAGTAAAGCAGAGGCCTTTATTTCTCCTCATTTTGAATATCCATGTATATTCATACAAGAGCAATTTTAAGGAATGAAATTATAAATTCAGTTTGGACATGTTTTAGACACATTGACTTTGAGGGGACACTGAGGTGGATTTATCTAATAGACGACTCAGTGAGTGGATTTGGAGATCAGGAGCTGAACTTGAGATGGAATTTTGTATTTTCCCCATTTCATATCTGTATTTACTTAGAAATCTGTGTTCTAAACTACTAAGCATAAAAGATTTGGGTAGATTAGAGGCAAGGCTTTATATTGTAGTCATGGACAGAGTCCTGATTGAGGGGATGAGGATTCTAGTTGTAGTTCTATTGTGCTTTCAAACTAGGACTTTGGGCACAGAGACTCAGTTTACTCACGAAAACTTGAATTATTGATCTGGATTTTCACTCTTATCTATTACCAAAAACATTTTAATCCACAGGGCCTTTGTTATTTTTAAGGGCTTTGTTATTTAAGTATGTACCTGTAATATGTATAGGTGATACCTCTGGATCAGGAATTAGAAAATTTCTTCTGAAAAACCACCTTTGGTGTAGGTTAAATAACTATTGAGAGAAGAGGAAGAGCAAAAAGGGGAGTGAAAAAAGCGGATCAGAGGCCTAATTAAGCCAATAAAATAGTTGAAGAGCTTTTCTTTATTGACATATTTTCAGTTTATAAACTTTTATATTTAAACTAGAGGCCCAGTGCACGAAATTTGTGCATGGGGGGAGGGGTGTCCCTCAGTCTGGCCTGCACCCTTCACAATCCTGGGAGGGGTGTCCCTCAGTCTGGCCTGCACCCTCTCACAATCCTGGACCCCTCGGGGGATGTCTGACTGCCGGTTTAGGCCTGATCTCACAGGGATTCCTGCGGGATCGGGCCTAAACCGGCAGTTGGACATCCCTCTCACAATTTGTGATCACTGGCTCCCCCCTAACCACTCACCTGCCTGCCTGATTGCCCCTAACCACTCGCCTGCCTGCCTGATGCCCCTAACCACTTGCCTGCCTGCCTGATTGCCCCTAACCACTCGCCTGCCTGCCTGCTTGACCACCTCTAACTGCCTCTGCCTGTTTGCCTGATCGCCCCTAACCACTTTGCCTGCCTGCCTGATCACCCCTAACTTCTTGCCTGCCTCCTGATCACCCCTAACTGCCTCTGCCTCAGCCCCTGCCACCGCAGCTTTGTCCGGAAGGATGTCCAGAATGACATCCGGGAGGTCGTTCGGCTGTCTGGTCTAATTAACATATTACGCTTTTATTATTATAGATGAACAAAAGCTACCGACCAGAGTAAAGGTGTCTCTATTCTAACATGGCTTAATGAAAATGGGCAGTCCATTTCAATTTTAGTTTATTGCTGTCCGTTGTTAGTGTGTACTGTAAGGTGTATGTTGAGTGCTTATCCTTATTTTAGAGATTTTTAAAAAACATTAAAGGATAGTAGCAGTTTGGAAGTGCTAGCAAGAAAAAGTACGTATTGCAGTAGAAAAGAAAGTGAAACTTAACTTTACATAGATGTGTTCATATTAGTCATTGGTACGGTGTCACGTTGTATTTGTGAACAAATGGATTTTGGAATAGATTTGGAATTTAACCTTTTACAGAGAAACTTTTTTATTAGGATAATGGTTTCCTTATTATCAAAGGTACTGTAGTCATTGTTTATAAGGAATATATATAGAAATAGCTTAAATATCTAATGATTGATTTTTAAAACAGTATCTGTCATTAATATAATTCTATTATTACTATGGGCACACAATTTGGTAGGTACAGAAAAAATTTTAGACAATGCTTACTTACCCAGAGAATCAAGAGAAGTTTTTCTTTAATTATCTTGGTACCTGGGACATTGCTTTGCAAATAGTAGGCACTCGAACATTTATTCAGTTTAACTAGGGGGACGTAATTTTCAAATGTGAGACAATGTACAAGTTAATGTTAACTTTGTGGCATGGACAGTAAGTGCTGTATTTTTGAAGGTCCATATCAGTCAAGACACAGAGGTTAGGAAGCTTTGTGAAAGAAATGGTATTTCATTTGAGCATTGAAGAATGGAAAAGATTTGAATGGTTGCTGAGAAATGGGTGAGGCATTCCTGGAATGGAAATATCAGAAGTTGAGAAGGAAGGCAAGAAATACTGTAGTTTCTATGTGGAGGATCATCCGGAGGGGCAAGCCTAGTATAGAAGAATTGGGTTAGGTGGTGATTTAAAGAAAAAGATTATAAGTAATGTTTGTCTAAGATCAAATGTATGTGTTATGTGTGTATGTCTATCTATGATCAATTTAGGTCAAAGCACTTTTTTTTTTCTCTTTTAGATATGGTGCGTTGTTCAAAAACTACCCGGATGTGCTAAGAATGCCTAATGTTGGAGTTAATTCATTATTGAAAGGGGTGGGATGGGTGAATGTGTAAAACTGCTGGGTTAGAATTCAGTTTAGTCAGTAGAAATATCACCTGAATTGAATTATTAACCCTTATTTTATTTTAATACCTAGTTAGGGACAACACAGTCATCTATGATGACCTCTAGAATCCAGAATATATAGGGAATTGACTTTACTGAAATTAGGAAACTGAATATATGATTTGGCTAGCACATGCTAGCTGGATTTAAGTTTTCAGGGAAACTCATTCAGCAGCTCAGTTTCATTCCTGAACTTGTCTCTTTAAAATTAAATTGTAAATGCTGTTTCAAAGAATTAGATGTTATTTAATGTGATATATTTTTATATCTTTGTCTTTTCATTTTCATTTATGGCTATAAGCATATGATATAATATTTAATAAAATTAAGATAAACTTTTAAAATTTTCCTTTTACTTTTGTTAGTAGTGATAATTTTTTTTAAAACAGGCAAACATCTTTGGACAATACTTTTTAAGTATTTCTCCCTCCACTGTGAAATTGTTTTCACTCTTAAGTTGTGCTTCTGTTTTTCTACTATTGTAAAGTGCAGTTCTTTGCATGTTCTAATTTGCCATGACGTGGTCAAGTGCTGTTTCCTTCCTGTTGCTTGCAACCCTGTGCTAGAGATAAGGATACATTTCAGTGCATTAAAAAAGAAGCCACTGAAGACAGGCTTAAGCATGGTAAAGCATTCTACTTATCAGAAACCTTTTTAAAGAACAGAGAGTGGGCTTTAATTTCTGCTTAGTTTTTTAAAAGCTCTTAAAATAGTACTTACTAAACTTTAAATGTATTAGAAAGATTTTTAAGTCCTTATATATTAGATCTAATAGAGATACTGTCTGAATGTTTCTATTAAGGCAAAAATAATACATTATGAAATTACTCATGGAGTAGCATTTCCAATGTAGGTGGTTTGCTGGCTTAGTGGAAAGAAGAAAATTGTTTATATGCCCTTTATTGTAATTATAAACCTAGTTGTTGCTAGGTGGATATATGTATATTTTTAAATATTTGGAACTTTAACAGTAGTTTAACTTGGGGGTGGAGAGAGTGGCTTTATTTTCAGTAATGAGAGGTGATTTTATCTTAGCAGGAATGAAATCTTCAAAGAAATTATGTACCTAACTTTAAAAAAAAAAGTGTGTTCATTAGTCATGTTGATTTTGTTTAAAAATATTAACAGAAATACTTTGGAGACACTGCCCTTGGTATCAATTATTATATTCTAAGTGGATATGATTTCATAACTAACTTAAACTTTTGTTTTTCAGGCCAAGAAGTTCTGGAGAAGAAAAATTTCAGAAAAATTGCCTCAGTTTGAATAGCATATCAGAAAATTTGAAACACTTTTCCTAAAGAAACCAAGAAAATTTGAAGCTCCTTTCCTAAAGAAAACCTGTGTATACAGTAACTTCACAGACTTAGTTTTTTTGTTTTTTGTTTTTTTTTTAACCCAAATTGTCACTGGATTCTGCTGCCTGATACTTGAACCTGTTTGGAATTTTTCTCATGTGCATCTAAGGGGAATGCTTTATTATGGCTGCTGTTGTCCAACAGAACGACCTAGTATTTGAGTTTGCTAGTAACGTCATGGAGGATGAACAACAGGTATGAGACCCAGAAAAAATTTGGATTTTAATAAATGTATTATTGTGATTTCTCCATTTATATCAGAAATTACTTACTTTAAATGAAAGTATGAGAAACTTTATTAATATAGAAATCTAGATATTAAAAATATGGAAGTAATTGTGATCTTATATTTTAAGTACTAGTTAATTTGTTAAAGAATCTTAACCTTAACTGTGATGTGGTAACAAGGAAGTAATACTTTTGGAGTTAAGCTTGTTTTTTTGTAAAATGAAATTTAAATACCTTAAGTAATTATTTGAAAAGTTCTAGAAGACATATTAACAAAACATGTAAAATATTTAATAGTACATGATGGATTGTAATAGTTGCTTGCAGTTATGTAATTTTAATGTATATGGTTAATTAATATTTATAACCCTAGGCTATTTTTTCAAGCTGATGAAAAGATGTTAGCAGTCCTATAATCATATGTTATTTCAGTCCAAAGCATGTGTCTCTGAAGAAGTTACTTTACTTCTTGAGATCTAGATTTCATCATCTTTTGAGTGAAGGGATTGAACTGAAGAATTTCTAAATTGGTTCTTATTGAATTTATACAAGATATATAAATTACTGTTTCTAGAATGTAAGAAGGATCCAGGAGATACTAAGAAAAAGATCTAAGTTAATTCTAGCCTTCCTTTTTTGGGTGGGGGTAGTCTAGGGGTTCTTGGGACTTTATAATTTACTTCGTTTTAAACAGGTTATATGGCCATGATGTGGGAGAAATGGTGTAAGAGAGACTCAGTGTACTGAGAAAAATATTTTGAAGACTGGTAGGTTTAAAATATATGTAATGAAGTTGATTTATATACTGAAATAAACCTAATTTCAAATACTTAACTTTAATAGATCAATTAAAATATATCATGTTTTTATTCTAGAAGCAGAGTTACTACAGGTAATAAGATAAATTTTTACTTTTGGCAGGGCATTATACTTTCTTAGCTGTTTGTATTGTGTATTGAAATGACAGAATTTAAAAAATTATAAATAAACCTATAAAAGATTGGAATTTGGATTAAGGTGTCTTAAAATCAAGATGAGTTTGGGTAGGGAGGCAAAAAATTTGAGGGAGAGGATTGATTGGTCCCAATTAAAAATATATTAATAGTTGCCCTAGCCGGTTTGGCTCAGTGGATAGCGTGTCAACCTGCGCACTAAAGGGTTCCAGGTTCGATTCTGGTCAAGAGCACATGCCCAGGTTGTGGGCTCAATCCCCAGTAGGGGGCATGCAGGAGACAGCCAATCAATGATTCTCTCTCATCCTTGATGTTTCTCTCTCCCTCTCCCTTTCTCTCTGAAATCAATAAAAATATGTTTTAAAATATTAATAGTTATCTGGATTTAATTTAGAGATAATAGAAAAGATATTTTAGGAAGAGAAAGTGTTTTAATCTGCTTTAAAGCAGGACATTTTTGTGTATGTTAAGGTTTGAAAATAGTGTTTACTGTGCAGCCCTTTCAGATGAAAGATCCCAGACTTGATGTGGTAAGGTTTGTTCTCGGGATGTGGTTGCAGATGATAAAGCTTTTACCCACTTATTGGTGTGCTCCAGTGCAGTAGCTTTGACACACTTTTGACTATGAGAAATATATTCTATATTATGGTACAGTATTCATACATGTATCTATATAGCCTTAAAAAAGTTTTGTAAAATAATATTTCCTCTTATTATGTATGGTACATTTTAGTTTATCTTGGAGAGGTTACTAAGTCTTTGGGTAGGGAGATGGTGCTCTTAACATCGGAATGCACATGTCTAAAGTTATTTATTTTTATCTAACAAAAGGAATATATATTAGTTTTGTGCAGGTATTATTACAAGGACTTGACAAATATTTTAACCATATACGGCAAATGTTATTATCTGTTTATTATAATGAGGAATTGAGACATGGAGAGAGGTTCAGTGACTTGCCTAAAGCCATACAGCTAGTAAATAGTGGAGCTGCATTTGAGGATGTTGAACACTCTTGCAATGATATATGCCAGTCCTTCTGTATTATAATCAGTGTACAATGTTTGGAACAATTGGTCAGATTTAGAGTTCTTCAATCTATGGCACAGTAAACTTAATTGATTCACATGGGGGTAGACCCAGCAGTGTCAGTCTTATTAGCATCTTATCTAACTGCTTCTACTAGCTTGTTTGTTCACTTGTTAAATTTGTTTTTAATTAAATAAATAATACAATGCCAATTATAAAACAAAGTCACCTAATATGAAAATATGTAAAATAGTGCAAGTCTCTTTTCCTCCTCATTCCTTAATTCTATTCTGCCCCCAAAGATATTAGTATTGACTATTAGATGTTTAATTTTTTTAGACAAAGGCCTAAATGAAAGAATACTATGTGTATATACAAACCTACACCCAGAAGTTGTTTTTAAGATACAAATGAAAGTATGTGAAGCCATTTTTGTGACTTGTTTGTTTGTACTTAATATATCATTTATTTTTCACATGACAGATGGATCATTTTTTACTTTACCAGTCCCTGATCATGTACAATTGGCTATTAACAGTATTTAGCTATTGTAAACAATATTAAAATAAACATCCTCGTTTGACTGCTGTTTAAATCTCAGATTTTGCAGTCAGAACACCTGGGTTTGAATCCTCATGCCACCTCTGTGACCTTAAGCAAGTTCCTTAACCTCTCTGGTCCTTGGTTTCCTTATCTACAAAATGAAGATGATAATAACAGACCTAATATTATAGGGTTGTTATGAGCATGAAGTGAATTGATGTATGTAAAGCTCTTAGAACCATGTTTGGCACATAGCTAATATTTACCCAGTACTATCATTTTTTTATTGCAACTTTCTGTGTGTGTGTATAATTATATCCTTCCTATATAATAAAAGCCTAACATGCAACCTGTCCCCTCAACCGGGAGTTCAACCACTTGCTATGACATGCGCTGGCCACCAGGGGGTGGTGCAGAACATGGAGGGCATCGGCGATGTGGCACTGGCAGTGGGAGGCATTGGAGGTGCTGCCTGCCCTGATGGGCCCCTATGAGAGTGGGACTGCGGCGGGATGGTGGAGCAGGTGAGTGGGTGGCTCCAGGCCAAGGCAGGTGCGAGCAGAGGCCCAATCGCCCTGCAGACAGCAACCAGCATTGGCGGGAGGTGCGGGGGCAGGGCCGCTGCCCAGCTCCCAGGCACTGAGGGAGCTGGGCGGGGGACCCAGCCCCAACTGATTGCCCTGCAGATGGCAACCAGCGGCCGGCAGGCCCTGATTGCCCTATTGGGGCCGGGCCCCGGGCGGGGACGGGGAACTGGGGGTGGGTGGCAGTGACCAACCTCCCACGGCCCCCGGGTAGGGGGCTGAGACCTCTCCCTGGCTACCGGGGGCGGGGTGATGGGGATGGAGGTGTGGTGGGAATGCGGGGTGTCCGCCAAGCTTGCTCTCACTTCCCCTGTTACCCTACCCCGGTATGCCAGGGCTTGGGTGCCAGGGAAGCCCCCACGTTCAGGTGCTGGGCGCCTGCGAGGAGCCCGCCCCACACCCATGTGGCCTCTTCCAGGTGAGCCAGGCCACAGCTATTGGGACCGTAGGGGCCAGTCGGGCTCCCTGTAGGTTCATGCAGGAGCCGGTCTGTGAGGCCAGCCAGGAGAGAGTGCGCTGCCCGCCTGGCTTCTGTGCGGCACTGCTGGGCAACCCAGAGGTCCACACTGCGCCCCACCCCACGGCGTCCGGCCGTGCTCACCACATCTCCATGTGAGGACTCAGGTGCTATGGTGCCGTAACTCAGGCGGAGGGGGGTGCGTGGGGCCCACGTGCTTCCCAGGGCCCAGAGGTCAGCTGGAACCCGCCCTTTGATCACCGGCAAGGCCTAGGGACTGCATTGTGCACAAATTTCATGCACTGGGCCTCTAGTAATAGTATAAAGTTGTTGCAACACTTATATGATTATTTCTAAAGGATTTCTGAAAGTAGAGTTACTAAGTTTACTAAAAGCATAAACATATTATCAAATCATTCTTTCAAAAGGCTATATCAATTTCTACTACCACCAATAGTATATTTCCTAAACCATCGCTATCAGAAATTTTCTTTTTGGTCAGTCTTTTTTGGTGATAATTACAGTTTACTATTTTAATTTGCATTTCCTTGACTACTAGCAGTGAGGTTGTTGAATTGTTAATTATAAGTACTTTTCATTTGAATTTCCTTAAAATTACTTACTAATATCCTTTTGCCCAGTAATTTTTTATATATTATGGCTATTATATCAGTATTCATTGTCTTCTAACTAATTCATTGTACAGGCAATGATTAACTCTTTTTGTGACATGTCCCTACCATCTTTTAACATACCTTTTGCCCTGTAGAAATTTTAAATATTTATGGTATAAAATTTACCATTTTTGATGTCTACTAAGCTTTCCTCACCCTTAAAATTATTAGTCTCTTAATATTTTCTTCTAGTATATCTTTTGTGTTTTATTCCTCAGTTCAGATGAAATCTACTTCTATAGGATTCTAGAGGCCCGGTGCACAAAATTTGTGCAAGGGTAAGGGTCCCTAGGCCTGGCCAGCGATCAGGGCTGATTGGGGCCTTCCGGCTGGGGCCTCCTTCCCTGGCTGCTGGCTGCTGACGGGGCCTCCCTTCCCTGGCTGCCAGCTGCTGGCCGGGGCCTTCCTTCATTCCATGCTGTCCTCTGGTGGTCAGTGCATGTCATAGCGAGCAATCAAACTCACGGTCTCCTGGTCGAACTCCTGAGGGGACACTTTGTATATTAGGCTTTTACATATACAGAGAAGATACAGGGATCTGAGGACTCTCCCACAAATGGAGATGTTGGCCCTTCACCATTTATTGAATGTTTTGTGATTTTCATACTTAGGCTGCCACCTTTGTTATATACTAAACTAGAGGCCCAGTGTACAAATTCGTGCATGGGTGGGGTCTGGCCAACCAGCCCTGATTGGCCCTGATCGGGGCTGGGCTGGCCAGGGGGAG